TACTCGTACTATGATGTTAATACCCCGCATCACACCCATCGCTATCAGACAGACAAGAAAGTGCAGCAAATCCGGGCTACCGTATGGAACCGTACCGGTACCTTCCCCTAGGCTCTCTAGCTTCGGAAACTATTGCCAGCAATGGAAACCCGTTGAGATCCCTTCTCGAAATGCCCGCTTCCGAGCTTGTTCTGGAACATTCAAGTTCGCAACCTGTCTGGGTAAGGATACGGTTATGGCAAGTCTCACAAGAGAGGCCACCAGCTGCCAGTCCCACTTTCATTCCCCCTCGCACCCACCCACACCCATCCAATCCTTTTGATCCATTCCTAGTTTTTTCATCACAACAAGTTGCCGGTTCTTGGAGCAATAGGGTATTTTGTCTTCTTCTTTCGACAGAGTACCGTATCATATTGCCCGTCCCGGTTCGAACATGTCCTTTTGTGTACTCGAGTACTACCGTAGCGTGCTACCGGTATGGTATGGTGGTATCGCGCGCGTAGCAGCACAAGTACCGGTAGCAGAGTTGGCTATCGTAGAGGGAGAAAGCATGCACCACTTTCCCTTGCCTCCCTACCGGTATTCCCTTCCCCTCCTTTCCCAAGCACGCGATATGTGGGCCAGGGCCCGTCAGCGGTTAGCGAAATCTTTCCCATCTTTTGCGTGCTGGAAAGGGAAAGGGCGGAAGAGAAAGAAAAGCCCCCTAGTGAAACTGTGGGGAAAGAGGGTGGGAGGGCAGCACGATGGGTGGATGAGTGGTGGGTGGAGGGAATGGCTCTCGAACTCGATGAGCGCCGTGAAGGAGCTCTAGCCAATCAATTGACCTTATGACCAATTGACGGGATTCCTTGTCAAAAAGGGCGGCATTGGGATGACCTTAGAATGGGAATTGTACTAGTACGAGTACTGTACTCGAGTACTCGTACGGTACCCTATTCTGCCATTGGCGATCCAACTTTTCCTATCATAAAGTTGAGAGGCGGCAAATTGGCTTTTTTTTTGTTTTTCCACACTTGTACTAGTACTCGTAGAGCACGAGCACTTGTATATTGTGGTAAAATACACTCAGGACCGTTTTGTTCTTTCCCCCCTTTCCTCGGATACCGTACAATGCTCGAGCATGCTGTAATCAAAGTTTCCTCACTGCAGACACTTTCCGCGTCCCTCAGTGGTTTGATTATTTTTGATCGCTTGGTGGGCATCCCTTGGTGGGCACTGTTTTTGAACGCAGGGTGAACGTGTTAAGAAGATCACCTTGCCTAATTAAGTCCCAGTGTTATTATTTCTATTTTTTTATTGCTTTTCCCATTCTTCTTTTTCTAAAATGGTTGCCCTTTGTTTCGAAGCTTGTAGTGCCCTCCCATTTGCAGGGGAATGGTTGGTGTTTGGGACCCTTTTGTGACTGATCATACTGTACGCGGAACTGGGATCGCCCCTCCTGGCGATGCCCGTTCTGCAGAGAATGGGCAATTGGAGGGAGGAGAGGTTTCTCCCAAGGAGGGTAACTACGGTAATTTGTTGTTGGGGTTTGGAATGGTACTGTAGTCGAGCAGATCGCGATTGGCAGCACCATGATGCCACCATCACGCAAATTGGACTCGATACAGTATGAACCATCATCCATGCTCTCCATTTTTCCAAGGAGGTGCGAGCTCATGCCGGAGGGGCATGGTTTCAGATATTAATTTTGCTTCCAAACCCTCAACAAAAAATAAACACCACCACCACAACCAACACCTTCTACCGCACTATGAGTTTTTTTGGGGTTCGTCGACGGATGGAAAAAAAATAGTTGACCAATATTTTCCGGATGATGGGAGAGGATCTTATTCATCCGACAACCACACACACTCCTAGGGCGAAACTGCGATGCTAAGTAGCAGATTGTATCATAGGCCCTAATGGGGGTACGTGTAGGATTCTACCGGATCGGCAAGGCAGGTGAGGAAAAATATCTCAAGATTTCTACCTATCCATTTCCGGATTGGTGAACAGCATGCAACATTTCATGCCACAGGAGAGATCCATCCATGGTTTTGGTATCTACGACGAATACCAGTAGTCGTAATGCTATGGCAAGAGGTTCGGGGTTACCGGTGTATCATAGCAAGCCTTTCCGGTTTGTGTCCGAGATGGGAATATCATGTCAAACTCCAGAATGTTTTTGAGAACTTGTATCAATTTGTATGTATGATACCAGATAGTTCTATGTGCTCGTACGAATGCAAGTACTTCTCTTTGTTTCCCGTCTGGCCCGTGCCAGGTGTTACGGTTAGGCTTCCGTGCCGTGACGACACACCACATAGCATTTTTCTGTCAAAGAGAGAGAGAGGTCCAAACTCTTGAAACGTTAATGTAGTTCCACGAGTCTTTGAAATCTGTGGGCACGCCCACCACGCTTTCGCCGTGGTTCGGAAGGGAATCACCCATACGGTACTTGTACTGTAACTTTGTCTCTGTTCCGCCCGAGAATGGATAGGAACCTCGGGAGGGTGGGGAGCGAAGTTCGGGGGGGTTGGATTTATTTTCTTATTCACGGTAATTGCTGCCGCCGAAACGGTGCGAAAGGTACGATACTCGAGCACAGTACGAGCGGTACCAGTACGAGTAGGCTTTGACCTACGGTAGCTTTTCACTCGTAGTGACAGGCGCACATGACGGAAGCACCTAGAACTACTCGTAGAGCAAGGGAGAGAGATACTGTAACTCGTACTCAAGAGGAGGAGGCGGAAGGCCACTTCTTGAACCATCAGAGTCAATGGTGCTCTGAGAGCCAAAAAAGAAAGTGTCGTGTGGACACAGATACTCGTACAGACACCCTTCGGGCTCAATCATTTATATGAGGGAATCTTCGAGAGGGAAAACAATTGGTCGGCGTAGAGACTGGCGCGTCAGTGGGGCCAAAGTGATGATCATGCCCAGAAACAGCGGAGCTTTCCACCATTCTGAAATAGATAGCCTATCATAGACGAGGGGACCACACCCTGTTCTCGCCACTTCAATGTTTACTGCATTATTAACATCATGGGGGTGGTAACATTGCGGGACGCTAGGCGATAAACGGGATAGTGCATCACCACGTAACCTCCGCTCATGGTCTCTCCTACTCGTACATGCCATCACACACACCCACACGCACCTGCCATGTCCGTACTCATTCTGCCTGAAATGTGGTGTAGCTGACGGTAAAGTCGAAATGGGTCCACCATGCCCGGCCATAACATATCATACAGATATTCTATAGTATTGTGAGTACCAAGTGGCGGGCAGAATAATGATAATATTCTATTCGTGAAGGAAACGTCCTAGTATTTTGGAGCACGAACTGGATGGAGGACAGGGGAAGAAAGAAATGGAAAGGGGCAGCCTTCTGTAGGTCGCTGTGGAGGGCCCGGTTTGTGGTGGTGGGAGAGTTTTCTTTCTTAGGCTGGGCTGTGTGTTACGCCGCTGGCTCGCTCGCTCGCTCCTTCAGGTTTTCCGCTCCTATCATACATAGCCCAGCAGAGCTGCTCAAGGTGGAAGGAAAGTGAGTGGACGAATGCTTGGGAAATTCGAGCAACCAGACAGCCACCCCATCCCATCCACACAACCTTCCACACCACCACCCCCCCCGGTCAACCCATCCAGCTTGGCCTTGCCCAGTGGCCGGTTGCCAGCTCCATATATCAGCATTTTTGCCCCTTCTTCTCATCTCTTCCACCTTCTTCCGCTTTATCGTCGTTTCCTCTACCCTGCGTTGTCACCATACCGCGATCTGTTCAAGCTGTCGAGTCTTTTCCCCTGGGGGCTTCTCCTCTTCTCTCTCCCCTCTCCCTATCCTCTCTCGTCCGCCGCACTCACTCCTTCGCTCGATCAAACTGCAATCCATAAGCTAGAGACGTTCTTCTACGTGTCCCACGGGGAAAAGCTTCGCTAAGCCTGATAATTCGACCTCACATTGCAGCCCCGGATCCTTCCAGCCCCCTTCATCCAAAATCACCACAACCACCACTTATCACTCACTCTTCGTCTCCGACTCTTGTTACGAACTAGCCCGCAACCTGGACACGCAAACCTCTAGAACAAACAACGACGACGGTGCTACGGAGGATCGATAACTAGGGTTAAACCCACTCGTTTTTTCTTTCCAGCAGGGCATCAACTTCCAACACCTGGTAATCCGTTCTCTGTAAACACTTCTTGAACTACAGTTTCAGAGAGTTACTGCTCGCTACCGCCCTCGAGCTCGGCCGAGCTCATCACTGAACGAGTTTCCTTATCGTCGATCCGTAAGTCTAACCATAGCTTGATATCTCCGAACCTTCCCCCCCCCCGAGTGTTAAGACGTATATGTGTGTATATATATATATATGTATATACACATATGTTGTCTCAGGGGCAGCAAGAAAATACTTCAATATAAAGTGAAGGGAGGAAGGGAGGTATATTAGAACAATACTAACCGGGGCATGGATTCAATATAGTTCACAGCAACATTTCTCATGCGTTCATAAGTTTTCACTCTTTTTTTCTTTCTCCAACCCACACGGCCACCGCCCGCGACATCTTTTTTTTTTTTCGATCTTTTTTTTTTTCTTTTTTCCCCTCCAAGCCCAGGAACGTACCGCCTATATGCGTCTGGAGTTACCGATCCAAACATTGTGATTTTCTTTCGTTCTTGATCCTGCAAGCCAACACAAACTCCTCACCATCCCACTACTCAATCAGATCAGAGTATCTGTCTCAAAATTAGAGAATTTTGTTCTCTAAATCCCTAGGTTTGGTACCTCAGCGAGGGACATTCCACCCGTGTGTATGACCAAAAAAGCGATCTCCTCAATCCGCCAATAGACTGTTCTGGATTTCTGCGCGGACTCGGTCGACTTCCGAGTCTTAAAAACCTGTTACTACTGCTACTATACTACATTCATCTATACTTTAATCCTTAAAGCAACAGACCAATCGCCAATCACCACCACTCACCCCTCAAATCCAATCGACCTACTTGAATTACCAATGGAGTGCATGAGAAATTCGTTCCAGGAGGGTGTCCTTCTTGATGGGTATGTATTTGTTTGTTTGGGTCACTGCTGAGGAGTCGTGCTGATGATGGCTTGCGTAACCATAGGCGTTTCAAGTCGGTTAGGCTCCTCAACCATGGCTCATTCGGAATGGTCTCCTTGGCCAAGGACATCCACTCTGGGGAGATGGTTGCCATCAAGTGCCTTACTAAGGCCAACTCGGCAGCGGCAGCAACCACCGAGTTTGCTATTGATGAGCTTTCCCAGGAGTACGAGTTCCATTCCCGAGTCGGCAACCACCCAAGCATCGTCAACCTAATTCATTCCTTTGAGACCGAAAGCCATATTTTTCTCGTGCTTGAATATTGCCCTAATGGTGATCTCTACGAGGCCATCCGTCTTGGACGTGGCCCCTTGGAGACCGAACATGTCAGAGACTTCATGTTGCAGCTGGTGGCTGCTGTGGAGCACATGCATTCCAAGGGTGTCTACCATCGCGACATTAAGCCTGAGAATATCTTCTTGAGCCAATTTGGACTGATGAAACTGGGTGATTTCGGCTTGGCAACCATGGATGAGTGGACTGATGAGTCAGCTGTTGGAAGCGACCGTTACATGGCACCGGAACAGTATGACTCAGTTGGCGGATATTCGCCTGAGAAGGCGGATATCTGGGCTGTAGGAATCTGTCTTTTGAATGTTCTCTTTGCCCGCAACCCGTTCGTTGTGCCCGCCGGAAGTGACCCCTTATTTGCCGATTACGTTTTGGATCGGGAGTCCCTTTTCGATATTTTCCCGACCTTGTCATATGATACCTATGACGTCCTTTCTTATTGTTTGGCCCTGGACCCTAAAAAACGTTCGCTTGCTGGTGTTCGTGATGCCATTGAGCGAGTTGTGTATTGGACTACAGATGAAGAGGGTTTGGATGATGACTTCTGCACTGAAGATAGAGAAGTCGTTCCCGCCCCCGCCAACCGCGAACCGCTTCGCACTCCATCTATTCAGAGTCCTCAAATTGCCCAGGGCGGTTCTTTCCCGTGGGCCCAAGCCCTTCACATGACACCTCAGCCCCGTCAACTTTCCATCGTTCATGATCAGGAGGAGCCGGTCATCTACAGCGAGGGTATGTTTGCCAATGATCCTGATCGTTATGCAAAGGATATGGGCTACTACGTTCATGTTACTCCATCGCTCGATTCCGGTCTTGGTGCTTCTTTCACGGCCATGGAAAACCACTTCAAGCTTCGAACCGAAAAGATTCCAATCAAGCCACCTGCTGTGACCAAAGAAGCGGATGCTTTTGGTATGCACTTCCAGCAGAGCGAGTGCGTCTCTAAGTCTTGGAGTGATTGGGTTATCGAAGACGAGGAGGAGGAAGAACGTGAGCGTGCTGAACGGGAGAAGGAACTCAAGCGTAGAAGCTGGAGTTACGAATCCGATCACGGGTATGCTGATGACGATGGGTACGATGTTGAGTGGGTCGGAGGGGGGTGGGAAGATCTGGCGGTCTAATTTCTTCCTTTCACCTTGGTATTGAGTTCCCGAGTCCGCCGCTGGGCTGGATCAATTTTTGCTACGTTTATTATTATTTTTTGATTCCAGGCATTATGGTGGGACATGGTGACCGTGAGCGAAGGTGTTAGAGCATTCCTGCTTGAGAAGAGTTTTTTTTTTTTTTTGTTTGCCTAACCTGTGGTTGTGGGGTTTATGTCGGGTTGACAAACATTTTGTAACTATTGGGATTTGTTCCCGGCATATTCGAAATACCCTGACTTTATATACGGGTTTTCTTGCATATATTTTCACCATTCCGCTTTCTGTATACTTTTAACCTTTTCGCTGTCTATTCCTTCCCCATTTCCTTGCGTGGACCTACCTTGCCTTTACGCTACTCTGCCCTTATTAGCTCTCCTATTTTATTTCCTTTCCCTTCGACTTCATCCGGGTTTGCTGCTTTGCGGACACTTTTTTTCCTTCTCCCTTGGGCGGTGTTGACTTTCTTTTGGCTTCTTTGGGTGGCTCTTGATGACGACGGTGTTTTATTTTCATACCCTTTCCTTTTCTTTGCATTCTATGACAAAAACTAACGAAAAAAGACTGTACGGTTGGGACAGGCTTGGGGGTTTGTACGGGATGGGTGTTTTGTGGCTTTTCTATCTCCCCTTTATATTCTTCAACTGGGTTCGGTGAAGATTTGTGTTATTATTTGGGCACTTGCTTCTTCTTTCTCGTCGGCGGTTGGTTCTCAGTTTTCTAACCTTTTTACTTGGGGGTTCGGGGGTATACTTCATTCATGTAGCATCTTTTTTGCTTCTCACGATGGAGTTTTAGTTGAAGGGGGAGCGGGGATTGTTGGCTTTTTTCAGTTTGGAGAGGCAGGTTTTTTTTTTTGTCGAAGCATGGCAAAAAGTGGAGTAGCATAGATCTGGTGTGTTGTGCTGGGTTTTTTCTCTTCTCTATTCTGTCTATAGCTGCGGGTTTTTTTGATTCTCTTTTTTTGTACCTGTCTGAAGCTGGTTGTTGTGGGGAAGAGCTTCATCTCTTTCCCATTCAACCGGTCTTTGGAGAAGGAAAAAAGAGTCTGGAGAAGGAATATAAAAGTGAGAGGTTTTTGTTCTCTTCTCCATCAAACAGTATTTTTTTCCATAACTCGCGCAAAGTGCATTGATTTAACGATTCTGGAATTGGATGACAATCCTGTTTCACCTCTTCACCTCTTCACCTCTCTCACAGCAGCTTGGACTCGTATCTTATTGTTACTGTAAAATTATTCACTCGAGTTTATCCTCTGGCGCTGAATCCTCCACATGTCCCCTTCTTCTCCCATCGATCTTATCTTATGCTTCGGCCACTCACCCCTGAATTCCGAGCCGACTGACTGGCCAGCTATGATACCGTACAGTGTATCCTATTGTAAGCTATTAAAATTATCAATATTTCACAGCCAACCCGACGGTATCATATCATACCTTACCGTACCCTTCAACGGGTGGAACTCCTCACGCCAAAAAAGACGGAGGCGGAAGCGTCTCCGTCCGGAGCAAGGCGACAAAAAAACAAAACAAAACAAAACAAAAACAAGAAGTGACCACCTGTCGTTATTGAAGACTCCTGCATTCCCATTGGTTCACATGATCGGTCAAATGCACTCATAACAATAATAATAGTTGATACAGTACGGGTAACCTATTCCTCCTCCTCCGCGAAGCCAAGCGAAGTGAAGCTTGCGTTTCGTCGTTTGTCGAGCCTATGCAACAGACAACCCGAGACCCGACGAGAAGGAGGGAGGGACTTTTGACAGCTTCCTTCCCACCCCCCCCTTTAAAATTTGGCAAATAAAAAACAAAACAAAAAAAACATGTATAGTACCGGTCGGTAATACGGAGGTACAGCTCCTAAGTTTTGTATGTTACGCAGGTGGCAGACACCACAATCACTATTAGTGTAACATACAAAACTTAGGTGCGGTACCTCCGTAAACATCTCGGCTTTACCGACCTTTTGGAGGCCCCCCCCACCACCACCACCACCAGCCGTACGAGTACAAGTAGTTTTGTTGGTCATGGTACGGTACTAACTGGCTGGCTGGCTTCCCGACGGCCGGGTGGAAGTGCTCGAGCGGTAGTGCGCTGCCACGGTTCCCGGGTTTGCGGGGGAGGTTTTTTCCATTCATTTTTTTCATTTTTTTTGGGGGGGGGCGCAAGTTATCGTACGCCACACATTCCGCGGAGGGTTGTTGTAGGCGGTGGTCAGTTCATCGCGTAATTGGTTTCCGGTGCGTTGTGACGTTGGGGTTTTTGGATGGGATTGAAGTGAAGGCGGGCGGGTGCCGTAGGACTGGAAATGGTTTGTTTTCCTTTTACATGTATGATACTCATCGTAAGGGGAAGGTTTGAGGGTAGCTTTTTCTTTTTCTTTTTCCTTTTGTTTTTGTTTTCCTTTTCCTTTTCCGTGGTGATTCCCGGACTTAATAGTCTACTTGCGCACTGCAGAAGTTTCCGGAAATGTGGAAAATAACTTGGCACCTTGGCACCCAGGTTGCAACCTGTCAACACACCGTTTATGGGTTTTTTCTTGTGATCGGTGCAACCACAACAACACCGCCATGCCACGGAATCTAGTAAAAAGAGGTGAGTTTGAATAGACTCTGTATAGATGTGTTACTAATATATCTTAGGAAAGGAGATTTCACCTCGGCGGTGTGCGGTCATCATTGCCTACTGAAGTCTACCAAAGCCAATAACCTATAAGCAAATAAAAATGGAAACTGGAGTTTCAATTTCAACTGCGAATGATATCTGGCATAATGCGGTGGATAATGCACGAGTGGCCCGCCAGGAAGCCACCACCAATACCCTCGCCTCCAGCAGTACGTCTGTTGTTAGACAGGCTGAAGACAGTGTCAGATTAGCGGTTCCACCAACTTTGGAAAATCGTGTCACACAGTCCGGCCCCCCTGATTCAACCCCTCTGGACGCAATTCCTGCCCTTGCGGTTCCTGCCAATAGTGCACCGGTTACCGAGGCACCATTCACCCTATATGAGCTGATCTCAGGAGGTTGCCTGAACCCTAAGAAGCATGCTAGTAGGCCAGCTACCCTCACAGCAGAAGATAAAGATCAGCTTGTGAGGACAGTAAAAACAGGCTTTAAGATGCAACGTATGAAGCTGATTGATATACGTCGTGAAGCTGGCCTGGGGCATGTAAGTGATGCTACTGTGTTTAGAGCCTTAATTGAGCGAGGCATTCATGCATACAGGGAGGAATTTAAACCAATATTGGATGCAGAAAATAAAGCAAAACACTTGGTAAGTCAACCTAATTTATTATACTATTTTATATATATATTGGAACTTTACTAACTATCTACTGGTTGACTATATAGATATACTGCACGGGCAGGGAGAACTGGAGAGCAGAGCAGGAGTGGGCCGGCCTTATCTTCACGGATGAGATGTCAATTGAGGTTGGAGCGGCGTTCGGAGTTAGTATTGTGTGGAGAGAGAAAGGAGAAAAGTGGCACAATGACTGTGTTGGTGCCAAAAAAAAAAAAGGCTGTTCGGTGATGTGCTGGGGGGCCATTGGATGGGGCTGGAAAGGGCCTTTCTTTATTTGGTTGACTGAAACAAAGCAAGAAAAAGAAGAAGCAAAATCCAAAGTTCTTGAGTACAATCAGCAGTGCGAGCAGGAGGAACATTTAATCAATACAGCTTGGTGGAGCAGTAGTGAGTGGAGAGAGCTACGAGAGGCGGAGCTGAAGGCAGCTCAGGAAGCCCGCAAGACAGCAAAGGACACAGGGGAAAAGGTGAAAACGAAGCAGACCTGGCGGTCTAAAAAATTTAAAATTGAAAAATTAAAGATCCGGGATGGAGGGGGGATTGATTCTTGGAGGTATGTGGCTTGTGTCTGTCGGCCAATTTTGTGGCCCGCCTACTTGGAGAAATTAGCTGCCGATCCAACCTCGAGCCTATTGTTAATGGAGGATAACGCTCCATCACACAATTCAAACTTTACGAATTCCGAAAGGGAAAAGGTGGGGTTAAAAAAGATTGCTTGGCCACCAAACTCTCCGGATTTTAATTCGATTGAGCATATCTGGCAGATTATGAAGGCTAGGATCCTACGGCGGCGTGGGGAGGAGCAAGTCATGAATTCTGCAGATATGAGAACAATTCTCAAGGAGGAGTGGAACAGAATCACAGTTGAGGATATCAATCATGAGATATCTAAATTGCCCTCTATTGTTGCTAAATGTATTCTACAAGATAGAGGTAATAAGTTTCAAGCATAGTATACTTTGATTTTGTTTTCTCTTTTCTTTCTGATTTGCCCGTTTCCTACTCCCATTGTTTTTACTCTTTTTCTTTTTTTTGATCGCGCCAAGGTGCCAAGTTATTTTCCACATTTCCGGAAACTTCTGCAGTGCGCAAGTACAGTACGGGGTTCTGAACGTGGGTTTGTGTGATACTTTGGCCTTGTTTCTGGCCACTCTGTGCGCACCCTGTCTTCTATAGTCGCTAGTTTTCTAGGGGCGTAGATCTCCTGCTTCCTAAACTGCGTAGACTATCATGCTCAAGCGCAGCGAATACTGGTACAACACCATACCCACACTATCGCCACAATTTCCGACAGCTGTAGGAGTACCCGGGCACACTGCCACAAAGGGGGTTCACCAAATCTGACTTATTGGGCTTCACGTGACCGATATATCTATCGGCCGCACTCGTACGAGTACTGCTTCATGACCAACAGCCCACCACCCCTTGCATAGAATGTGCAAGAGTACGAGTACGAACACTCGAGCACTCTTGAGCCTTTTGCGCACCGAGTTCAAAGGGTGTACGAGTACTGCAAAGGGCGCCAGCACCAAAACGGGCCTTTGGAGGCAAATACTCGTAAACGATTAGAAAGGCTAGACGCCACCCGACCCCGCTCAATTGCGCAAAGGCCTTAGTTCAGTGTCGGCATCGTTCATACAAGTGTTTCCCAAACCATTACCCGCCACACACATAAAGCGTCTCCACACATACTCGAGCATAGTACTCGTATGGTAGCCTCTTCACTCACCCAGCCTGCCCAACTTGTCCACCAAAGGCGCCATACAGTACCCAAGGTCCCACAATCTCCTGGAGCCGCATTAGGACTGCATTTCTAGCTTCTCGCCTTTGAATTTCACTCAGCCACGATACCACAAGGGTTCTTGGGGGGGGGAATAAATTCGAACCAAAAGCTTACGGGAAAGCCACGGCACGAGAAGTCTCGGAGAAGAGGTAGCCCAGACTAAGGGGGGTAG